TTCTAGTAACATTTTATAAAGATAATAATTAAGTATTCTGTTAAAACTTAATGATTATCCTAATTATATTTTAGATTTTTTATATTTAAAATGAGATGTTTATCCTGTATTTGATTGTGTTTATCTGCAGTTAGTTATACGAATTCAGATATGGGATGAAATCGGATAAGGATGAAATCATTTAGGGATGAACGGGTTTAAGAGTTTTTAAGAGTTTTAGTCAAATGCTTTATAAAATAGTATAGATAAAGTATTTTATATTATAAAAGAATTACGTGAGATTCATTTGAAGCATAAAAACATTTGCCACTTTGGCCTACATATCCATTCTGATAACATGTGGTCAAGCATACGTATACTAGAAGATTTTTTTTGAGAGGGGGGTATTTTAGTAAAACCAATTTGTAGTTAGTTGGTAGCCATTATTTGACCATGGAATTTGATAAGTGGTTTTGGAGGAGTAGGTTGGTTAAGAGACTGTAAATGAGAAGGGAGAGTGGTTGTAGGAGGCATGCAACTATCTCCTGGTAACCAGCATAGTGGAATTGGGTGAGAGTTCATCCGCTCGAAAGCTGGACATTTTGGTAGTGTTAACTTATAAAGCATTTGTCGGTGGTGGTTTAGTCATTGAAGAATTATTGGATGGATCGCATGGGGTGTGATACTTTTCTAAGTTGGATATGGAAAGGAGGGAGACATACTAGAGATGTCTTTTAGAATTAGGAAGGGTATTACAAGTTTTTGGTAATGTTGTTTGGCTTATCAAATGCTCCCACAACTTTTCAGGCACTTACTAACGGCATCTTTTGGCATTTTCATTGGTAGTTTGTTATGGTATTTTGATGATTTATTGGTGTATACTAAGAACGAGATTGATCACGCTCGACGTTTGGAGAAGGTGTTACAAGTCTTCCGGGATAGCTAACAAATTTAAAAAAATGTAAATTTAGGCGGCAAAAGTTTGTTTGTTTGGGGCATGTGGTTTCCAAGGAAGGGTGGGAATGGACTCGGGTAAGGTGGAGGCTATGCTAGAGTGGCCACAATCGAAGAACATTAAGCGAGGGGTTCTTATAGCGGTTGATGTGATATTATTGGGAATTCATTGTGTGTTACTGTCAGATAGTAGACCCTTGACTGATTGTTGAAGAAAAACACATTTGGGTGGAATGCAGAGGCGACAAAATTCCTTTATGAAATTAAAAAGAGCTCATACAATGGCCCTCGTGTTGGTGTTGCCATATTTGAACAAAGAGTTTGTTGTAGAGACTGATGCTTCAGGATACGGGGTGGGAGCATTTTTTAATGCAAGACGTTCGATGGCTTTTTACAGTCAAGTTCTCGGACAACCAGCCCTTTTGAAGTCCATTTATGAGAAAAGAGTTGATGGCGATCATATTTACTGTCTTAAAATGGAAACCTTATTTGTTGAGTTGGTGGTTTTGGTGCAAATGGACCAAAAGAGTTTGAAATTCCTACCAGAACGAAGATTGGTGGATCCTCGATATCAGAGATGGTTAACGAAGCTCATGGGGTATGATAACAAGGTTAAATGCAAGGTGGGAACAAGTAAATCTGGGAAGTTCAATGTTCTGTGATGATGGGGATGGAACGGATAAAGAAGAGGTAAGAGGACAAGTTATTGGGAAAATTATGGAGGAGGTGCAATCCCAAAAGATAGTCCACTAAGGATTTACAGTTCAGCAAGAGTTATTATGGTACAAGGATCTAGTGGTTCTTCCACGGTCATCGTCGATCACACCAACCGTTTCGGGAGGAATTCCATTTTTCTCCAATGGGGGGTGGGGGCACTTGGGGGAGGAGCACGTGTATTAGAGAATTGCTTCGGAAGTGTATTGGATAGGAATAAAAGGAGATGGGACAATGTGTCGTTTGCCAGTGAAATAAGGTTTTGAGGGGGTTTCCTACAGCGTTGTTGCAACCTATTCCCCTATCGTTGATGACATGGAAAGAGGTTTCTATGGATTTTATAGAAGCATAAACCAAAGTCAAAAGGATTGGAAACTATTTGGTGATTCTCGTTTTCTTGTTTTACGACTTCCTTTCTCTATATGCAGTGGCGCAAATATTCATACGGCAAATGGTTAGATTGCACGGGTTATCGATGACTATAATCTTAGATAGGGATCAGGTGTTTTCAACATGTTTAGTTTTCCGATTTCAAGGACCAAAAGTTGAAGATTACAACTCCCTTATCACCCACAATAGCTCGGAGATGATTAATAGATAGGTCTGTGGAACAGTATCTAAGGTGTTTTGTGTCTGATAAACCAACGAAGTGGATTAAGTGTTTGGTTTTGGGTGAAGTATTCGTACAATACCACGTACCATAACTCAATCAAGTCTTCCCCTTTCAGGGATTTGTATAGAAGAGATCCCCCATTGTAAGAACTCCCCACGTAAAAACATACCATTCCAACCCAACGCTTACATAACATAATCATATATGTATATAAGATAATACCAGTTTGTTTACAGACAATAGATCAAGTCAAAACTATACAACATGATGGATCTCCAACAAGAGATGATTTAACAAAATTAAAGGTAAGAAAAATGTCTACCATATTTTTCCCTTGCCTTTATTTTCTGTCTCGCGCTGTCTTGCAAAATAAATATTACAACAACTGAGGGTTAGACCGAAAGTTCTAGTGAGTGAATTCCCTCATATAACATTTTATACATTCATAAAATTTTAATAAAATTCAATCCATATATCAGCTATTAAAAATTGTACAACTGTCCTGCCATCCATCAGAGATAAATCTGCCAATCATCACGGCTGTCCCGCCATCTATCATAAATATCCTGTCAATTATCGCGGCTATCCCGCCATCTTTCACAGGCACCCTGCTAACTATCACGGCTTGCCCGCCATCTATATGCAAGTACCTTATCAACTATCGTGCCTGTCTCGCCATCCATCACAGGTACCCTACCAACTATCGCCACTGGCCCGCCATCTATTCGCAGGTACCTTATCAACTATTGCGGCTTCCCCGCCCTCTAACATAGATACCTCACCAGATATATGTATATAATGCACATAATAATTTAATATCGGGAAATATTCACAAAGAATGATAACTGGTTGGACATTCTCATCGGACAGTATATGGCCAAGGATTGTCCTCATCGGACAACACTTGGGCGATAAAAGCCCTCACTCGACAACACTTGGGCGATGAACCCCTCACCGGACAACACTTAATCCGGGCAAGACTATAAACGATAAATACTCAATCCGGACAAGGCTTTGGGCGATGAACACCCAATCCGGTTGATGCCTTGTCCGATAAAGGTCCTCATCGGACAGCACTGTGTCCGATAAGAGTCCTCATCGGACAACAATTGGACAATAACAAATCCTTATCGGACCATACATTTGAATGATAACAGAAAGGGTAAACTTAGAAATTCTATCATATAACACAATAATTACTAAAAGTGTTGTAAACAGATTCATCAATATAGTATAAAACTCACCTTAGACTGATTGCTCTGCTTTTTCTTTATAAAGCTTGCCAAGGTTGATCTTTCCAAAAAAAAAAAAGGAACTTTCTTAAGTCCATAACACATCTATATATAGTATAAACAGATTCATCAATACAGTATAAACCATTAGTTGGCAACCGTTATTATTGTTGTTTACCTTTATCGGGTGCTGTTGTTACAGGATAATGTGATGATGAAAGAACAACTCCAAGTGGTAATTCAGGAAAACGCGCTCTTGAAACGAGCTGTAACAATTCAGCATGAACGTCGAAAAGAGTTCGAGGATAGGGACCAAGAATTGCATAACCTCAAGCAGATGGTGTCTCAATACCAGGAGCAGCTGAGAACTCTTGAGGTCAGGCTCTACGAAAACTATTGAAACAACTCCCTGTCTTAATAACCTAAAACCGTCTTATCTATAAAAGCCAATTTAGCCTTACCACCTCCAGGTGGAATATATTGGGCTCGTTTTCATTATGTTTTTCTTTTAAATTCGTTGCAGGTGAATAATTATTCTTTGACGATGAACCTGAAGCAGGCTCAACAAGGTAACTCCATTCCGGGCCGTTTCCACCCCGATGTGTTTTAGTTCGATTAAGCTCGTCGACTGCTGTTATACATACATACATACATACATATATATATATATATATGTATATATATCTCATTCTATTTAACCTTGGGATGCCATGGGACCACATTCACATGCTATTGTGACTTGTACGAATGTTGTAGGTTCACCCTCATGTGTTTCGGTTTTATTAAGCACGATGACAGATGCCATCGTATCGTATGTTACCACCGTTGTCTTTGTCCCCCTCTCGGTTTTAAACTCGTTATAACTTAATTGTTTGTACAATATATTAAATTATAAATGCACACGACAGTTGCATTTATTTATCCGTGTTCTAAAAGGCGTGTTATGGCGGCTCCGTGGTGCAAGGCTCAACACCATGTTGTTAAGCCTGTGGCATGCTATGGCCTAATGCACGTTTTTTGTACCAATGGTTATATGCACGTTTTTTGTATAGCGTTGTCTGATTTTTTTTAATTACCTTTTAGGTTTTTAGTATATAACTTATTTGTATATTCTCTTTAAGATTAGAGGCAAGCGTATATAACCATTGGTAGAACATTTATTTTGTCATGTGCATTTTATATAACATTTTTTCGGGACCATTTTTATATATGTATATACGACATCAATATATCACATATAGGTTTCGGTTTTGGTGAGAATAGAAGTTATTATCTGGGTTGGGTTCCGGTGAGAATGGAAGTTGTAGTGAGAAGAGTGCGAGGGAATCTCCGTCCTTAAAATGTTGCTAGTATCATTGGATATTTCTTATGCCGATGCCTCTGTTATCGATGATGATGTGATAATGTTATGATAATGATCTGATTATATTGCGATAATAATGTAATAATGCTTTGATAAAATGAAGGCTTCTCATGGTGTGATTTTATTGTGGTAATAAATATGATAATTATGTGATTTTGCTGATAACGATGTGATAATCGAAAACCAATCATCGCTTTGTCTATTCATTATGTGTTTTTACTGTGATAATAATGTGATAAAGCTTTGATGTACTGTGATCGGTGAGTATAATACCTATACGTGATTTTAGAGATAATGAGTCACCAAAATTACAGATAAAACGGAATCACATGATTGTTCTTAATTATATTTTTTAATTTTAATTATTGGTTAAATATTTGGAGGCTAAGAAATGTTCTTGTATTTTTGTAGAAAAAGGAATTTTCGTTTGAAGCCCTCCTAATATATAGGTGAAAGATCGTGTGAGAAAGAGAGTTAAGGTTGAAGCGTAAGAAGGGATATGAACTCTTGATCATCTTTAATGCCAAAACCACCCATGAATCATGTTTGATATGAGGATTGATCTAGTATATCTCGGTGCATCTCATCTTAATATGCATCTAAGAGTGAAGATTCTTTTTTACGTTTCTCACCTTAACTATCATTTTCATAGGAACCCACACCATGCACACACATATGTAGGGAAGGGTTTAAACAAGAACACTCTTGTTTTGCGAAAATACGAGCACACTTTTGCGCCTCCAAGTTAATTAACATATAACAAAAGTTAGAATAAATGAAAATTAATTAGTACTTATCGATGATTTCATGTTATCGTAGATTTATTCTCATCTCTTAAATTTTGTTATTATCATTAGAGACTTTTTATATCAATGTGTCCGTTGTCAATAATGATGTGATAATACTGTGTTAATTATCTGATTTTGCCATGATAATAGTGTGATAGATTGAAGACTTTTTATGGTGTGATTTCTGTTGTGATAATGTTGTAATAATCGAAAACTAGTGATGATCACGTCTACATTTATCGTTGTCTGTTCATTATGTGATTTTGTTGTGATTATAATAATGTGATAATTATTTGATACCGATTAACATATTATCGGTATGGGGTTTATTATTACAGAAAATCCATCTTATCGAACCCACTTCACATTTATGCTTATGCTTCTACCTTGCATCATCATGTTCCTACTCACCAATTTTTGAAAGATGGATTTGATCGAAACCATATCTGTACATTTATTTCGAGTCGTAACATTCGTTAGAAATAAATACATGATAATCTGTCAAAATTACATGAGACACCCATGGTTGGTACTTGGTAGAAACAAAAACGAATGCATGTTTGGTGTGCTTAACACATCTTTTCGTCAATAACTCAATGGGGGCTGCTTCCTTTCATATTTTGAAGGCCAAACGCACGATGCAACGATCTTCCAAGATCTAAGACAGAGTAAGAACCCAGTTAATGACCCATTCTGCTTAATATTTCACCACTTAAACCATCTCGTCCTGCACCACATGTCATCACCGTATCAGAGGATAAGATAAGTAATCTGTTTTTTTTCGCCAGCGTAACGTAATATATATATATATATATATATTGCAAATTTAATGTAAAAAAAACAAGAAGAAGAATATTGAAAAGGGTAAAAATTGATTTGTAGCATGGGTTTAGCTTCCCTAAAATGGCTTTTTGGGCCAAACATTGTACATGGAAAAGGACCAGTGAATGCTTGTCATCAATTCAACACGTAGAGGTGCATGAAATGCATGTGATTGCTCACAATCTCTTTACATTTTCTACCCTTTTACTTTGCTTTTCTTTTCATTTCTTCATAATATTTTTACCACTTCATGAAACAACTCGTTTTAATAAATTTCGTTAATAATCGTTTAGATTATGTTTTACGTATAAAAATCATTGATTATTCGCTTCTTATACGATTTTACGTAGTTTAATTTAATTGACAAACTTTAGGATGCGTTTGGTTCAGACAGAGGAATGAAAATAGGTATGAAAAATGACAGAGAATGAAAATAAGAATAAATTTTCATTCCCCTCAGTTTAACCTGGAATAAAAATTTGGGCTTCTGAAGGAATGGACTCATGATATTATAAAAAACCAAACAATTTCTTTTATTTTCATTCTCATTAATTACTGCTTAATACCTCTTACCAAACACCCTCTTAGTTTACTGCAAATATAATGATTATATTTGATGATAAAAGCTGTATATATAGGCATAACTTATGTCATCTTATTCTCTCCAGATTTAGTACCGAATGGGATTTTTTAGGTGCATTTGGTTTACTTCATATAAGAACTCAAGTTTATATTTTGGATACGAATATTCAAAATTAAATCTCTTGATTATAACGGATTAGGGGGTATTTGTAAAATAAGACTTGGTTTAGAGAATTGATGGCAAAAAAACAAAAGTTATAGGGAAAAATGAAAAAAGAAGAACTGAAGGGAAAAAGTTGTCATTTAGTTGATCCTTAGGGGGCGAATATGGAAATATAATGGTGTGGGCCGCTGGTACGGTGGAAAAATACACAGAAAGAGCGCCGGAACCGCACGAGTGTGTTCTGCAAAATAAGAAGGTACGACGTCGCATCATGTACTACTCTTCTCTTTCCATTTCAACCCTTTCTTTTATTTTAATCTTTTACTGATTTACAGAACTGAGTTTATTATTACATGTATTTAATCAAATAAAAATATTTTCTTAAAATTAAATTATATATATATATATATAGAGAGAGAGAGAGAGAGAGAGAGGGGGGGGGGGGGAGGGTTCAAATGAAAATACCATTTTATCATAGACAATCACATGTGATACTATTATTCTATCACATATGATACACATGTGATATTAAATCAGAGACACGGACGATTTTCGATGCGATATTGGTTGCGGGTCAAGTCTCCCTTACACCACTAAGCCCCCTCACAGGTATTATCACATGTGATAAAGTTGTTGTTGCTATGATACTATAATTCATTAAGACCATCACATGTGATGCTAAATCATAAAACGCAGACAACCTTGGCGCAGCCTAAGTCGTATAACACGACGTCCGCACATCACAGGGTCCCCTCACGCGTATTATCACATGTGATAAGTGTGTTCTTGCGTTATCGTTAAATAGAGGTGTTCTCGTTTGAACCTTCACCTATATATATATATATATATATATATATATACACATTATAGACTTGGGATCATGTGAGATCAAGGGTTTTTCGTGAGACCCGTAAGACCAATTCTCAACTCTTAAATTAGATCTACAATCTGAATATTCATAATCACAAAATTGCTACGAGACTTCTCAATAATCACAAAATTGCCACCATGCAACTTTAGACCATTATCATTATCTTATAAAGTTGATCAATGAACATAAATTGGTCTTACGGATCTCACGAAAAACAAGAAAAAAAATAAAAGTATTTGTGTTAGGATTTGGACCCACATTGTGAACACCTACTTTTTTACACATTGTGATCATCTATTTTTTTACACCTTGTGTACACAATGTAATACAACGACATTAAGAATAAAAAACCAAAAAAAAAACTAAAGATCTCTAAAAGTATCGTATAAGGACTTGGATGCACATTGTGAACAATTAATTAATGTTTTTTTTTTAAGAAGTTATAGGTTTCCTTTTACGGAAGTTATAGATTTTTTATTTATAGGAATAATAAATTAATTAATGCATTTATAAATAGTTCATATTGGATCTAAATAATACACTAAAAGTATAAAAATTAACAACCTCGAGCCAATAATCGAGTTAACCGATCGCGAGTACGAGCCCATAAACGAGCATCAAGCTCGAGCTTGATAACTCAAATAATATTCGAGCTCGAGCCCTACATTGAAAAAGTTATTCGAGCTCGCGTCGAGCTCGAGCCTGGTATAAACTTTTTCGAGTCGAGCTCGTGTAACCTACTACTTAGCTCGGCTTGTTTACACCCCTAAATTTAAGCTTGATTCGAGCTCGAGATCAATACGAAATGTAGCTGAAACTCTCGTACATCCCTTGTATGTGTATTAGGTTTTACCTTTTAAAGCTTAATTTTCAAGAATACAAATATTAAAAACATCATGTAGAAATCAATAACGTATACAAAATCTTTCATTTTTATAATATTCCTATTTTACCTCTTTCTTTAAATAAGAAGATTGAAAGCTTGAACGGGTTTTTGGAAAGAGAAATTAATTAAAATAGCCATTTGACCGGCTGATTTCACCTTTTAGCCATTTTTTATAAGGTTTACTAAAATAGCCCTAGGTCCGCAATTTTTTTTGCAAACCAGGGTGAAAAATGTAATTTTTTTGCGGACCTGGTTAAGAAAAGTAAACTTTTTTGCGGACCTGGTTAAGAAAAGTAAACTTTTTTGCGAACCTGAGTGAAAAATATAATTTTCTAGGGACAAGGGTAGAAAGTGTAATTTTTTTTTTGTCGTTTAGTTAGGTTCACAATTTTTTTTAACGAACA